ATACAGCTCAGCAGAGAAGCTGAAAATTATCTGTGTTTTCTTTACATATCTAAGCAAATTCACAAAATATGTCACATTGTTATGACCTGAGGTAATAGTAATTCAAGTCATGTGCAAAATGGGCAAAAGATGAACATCCCAAAAAAACGCATCAAACTTTAATTGTGCTCCAATATTCACTCACTCTAACTACCACGTTTGTTCTCACTATTCATTTCAAAGTGTACCCTAACAAATGTAAGGTTGCTAAGAACTGCTGAACACCTGCTGTTAGCAGGTGACGTGCTCTTCCCGTCCTCAGATGCAGGACAGAGAGGAGCAGTGCAAGACACAAAGTGCTGACAACAGGAGCAGCCCATTTTTGTCATGGGAAGGGGAGGAGAATGGACAGTGGGAAGAAGCTGAATGAAGAGCCATGGAAAATGCATGAGGAATTAGAACATGAACTCTAACTTCAGCCTTGAGGGGTTCTTGCTGCTTCTGCTGCAGAGGACTCCTATGCTTCTGAGCAGCAGACACTGTCTTGCTCACCTTCATTTCTTCTCAGGCAGGAGAAGGGCAGGATTTCCCCGTTCCCACTTTCCCTTTCAGTCATTGCCTGGGGACAGCAATGACTCCTGAGCCAGGAGCACTCACTTCTCTCTGACAGCAGCCAAGAACCAATATCCCAGCTTGGCCACACACAGGCAGAGTTCAATCTTTCAGTGTCCCCACTGAATTTACTGGACTCTCATTTGCTTGTCAAGCAAACAGCAAACCCAAAACACTTTCTTCAAATTTGGGTCTGGAAAGTATTGAAACATATAAACAGTGAAATTATCTTAAAATGGATTTTCAGTAAAAGAAAGAGAAACTAATGGACTAAGATGTTTAATTTTTTTCCATAATGAACTCAGTAGACTCATTTAAGACTGACCTTTAAAAATGAGGTGTGAGAAACTGTGACAAGGAAGATGGATATGTAAATAAAATCTTGGTTTACCCCATGAGATGCAGAAAACTATAGTCATGCCGTAAGATGCCTTGGGACCACCAAACAAAAATTATTACCTGAAAATTGAGTCTTGGACACAACACTGGTGTGTGTAAGAGAAAATTCAATGCTCAGAAACATTTCAGGATCAATACTTTCAAGAGTACTCTATTCACCTGCAAAAAAGTGGCAGCTCAGACAGTGACAATAAACTTCCTTACCAAATATGTCTGTTGTCTGTCAGAAGACATCTTATTCCTCAAGCATGTTTACATAATTGCACTGTCAACATGACAGTCAATGGCAATCAAAAAGTCACTTACAAGTTTTTAAATCAAAATCTTAAAAACAATTAGCTTTTCTGTATTTGTTGCTTTTGTCTTCACTAAAGCTGCCCTCAATGACATCAATAACAAAATCAGTTTCAGTTGGCTCATAAAGGTCCACTCTGCAAACACAATTAAGTCCTTTCTTTACTGTATTTTTTTTAAATTTCACAAATAAATGTACAAAAAGTCTTCTATACTTCTAGCATTTTAGGATTACTTATTTCAAAGAACATCCAGTAGGCACTGAATGACCTCAAAATGACCTTTATTTCTGAAATTTTAAGATAAACTAGGCATTTGGTGGCAGCATCACAAGCACAAGAAGTATATATACATGCTGCTCATGAATCTAAACCAATAGTGTTATGAGCATTCACAGGAGCAGAATAAAAACATTACCCAATGCTTTTTCTTCATGACTTCTGAAAGACTGCTTTACTTACACTCAGCAGGGGATGATGAAGTCTTTTTCCTGATCGTGGTATGCTGCTGTGCATAACACTTTGGGGACTGACTAAGAGGTGCTTGCTGCTGGGCTAAAGGATTTTCATTTACTTGAAATTTGGGGCATAAAAGGCTTTTCCTTCTACTGCCATACATTTTATTGAATTCTAAAGTGCATATTAAAGTTCATGGCTATTAAAATGACTCATTGTAGATATTCATGGATATCTCCACAAAGGAACACAAAACGATCTGTACTAAGTTTTTTATATGGACCTCGGGGGGAAAAAATTAATAGGTGCTACTACAATTTAATCAAACGGGGGGAAAAATGCTTTGGCTTGAGGAGGAGTTGCTTCTGAAGAACAGTGGGGTTAATTTCTGAGATGCACAGTTGGAAAGTCTCTACAGGGGAACATCAGTGGAACAGTAATTAATTTGTCTTCATGGATCTGTCCATGAAGATAACTTGGCTCTGGATAGCATGTGGCAGTAACGCTTCTCAGACTCTGCTTGCACCAAGTTACCTTGTACCACCAAGGATGGGAACCACCACGGGAATTAGATGGTGGCCAGGACAGAAGATACCAGGAAATGGCTCCTCCCATTTCCTGCATCTAACATAATTCCTCAGTTTCAAAACCCAATATGAGGACTAAGAGTCTCACAGCTCTGATTTCTATTTTTGGTTGAGCTGTCGCTGCTGGCACACGGGGCTGGGAACGAGCATAATGATAACCTTAGTGGGAGCTAGTTCAAAAAATAGAGATTTCTTATCAACACTGCAGATCACAATATCAAAATGCTAACACTGAAGTGGAAATTTTTGTGGAGACAATAAACTCAGTACGAAAGGTAAAGTAAAATCTCTGTTCTTCAGAAGCAACTCCACCACAAGCCAAAGCATAATAATGCCGGCTGTGATCAATTGGAACAGAGAGTGCAATGGTAATCGGAAAGAAAAAGGGGAAATATTTAGGGGTTGTAGTGATAAAAAAGCCATTTATTTTTCACTTAAAATAGAAGGAGACCAAGCACTCCTACCTACCATGTTCAAGAATATCCGTGGCTTCCTTCATAGTCCCATAAAGATTTTTAGCACAGCTTTGCTCTCACATGAGCATCCTTATCAAGTCTGCCATAAGAATACAGCAGAAACCTAAATTGATGCTCTGATACACAGTAAGTCAAAAAAGGCATTTAGTGAGTCATGCTGCAGTAACTCAAGCAATGAGCACATAACATCTTGTCAAGCGATTGCCTTGTCACAGGGGTTTGCAAGACAGCATTATTCACGTGTCAATTGGAAATGGCTAAAAGGTGCTTTTGTTGTTAGAGCCTCTTTTATTTTAGATGAACCTACCATTTTATCAGAGCTACTGACACTTTCTTCCAGTAATGACATCTGTAATGCATGGGCACAAGTTTTTTTATGAGCAGCTCATGACATAGGAGTCTCCATCAGAACATACTGCTCCTAAAATCTGAAAATGGTGCAAATCCCAAACCTTCATATTCCTCTTTCTAGAGCGACTTGACACCCAAGCAGATTTCACTGCACCTCCACATTATCTCCCCTGCTCACAAGTGTAAATTACGTTAGAATTGCTTATATGGCACTGTTACGTGGATGACGTTCAAAAAACACATCATATGAAGTTTGCTGAAGGATGAGCAGAGAAGCTGTGGCTTTATGTACTGATTCATAGCCAGATGTGCTTCCTTCTCACCACTGTGCCCTGTGTGCAGATTGGCCATGGGTCAGAGTTTGCAGGGAATCTCCTTGACTACACACATGCTGGGTACTGTGCTCATTGACTTGCTACTTAACACTTTACTTTTCAAGCAATTGAGTCCTTTCTCACCTTTACTTATTCAGAAAACAAAAAGGTTTGGAGAAAGGACAATAATGTGAGCCACAACAAACCACGAAAACCATGAAACAGCACTGGAAAAACAGATTGTGAAAGAAGTGATCTAATCATACCTCAGGCCTAAAAGCAATGACCACGAAATCCAAATATTTTAAGTTCTGTCTAGGAACCATGAGAACACCAGGTGGAATCTCTAAGTTTAGAGGGCATTTTGACTAAAAAATCTCCCCTTGTAAGTAGCTGGGACAATATAATGCATTAATTAATTTTTATAAGCAGTTTCCATGAAAAGAGAATGGAAAGCAGTAGAAAGGCTGTGAGACCTGGAACTGATTGCACAGTAAAGGCTAAGCCATGAAGTGAAACCTTGGGAGCTGCTGAATCTTGAAATACTATAAAACCAAACAACTTCTATCAGGAGTAAATGTGATTGGTATTTTCCTGAAGTACAGTGATTTATTTTAAACAGTGATTGCTATCAATGATGTTGGAATTGTATTCATTATCTTCAGAGAGCTCACTTAAATAACTCTTAGCATATACTGTTTGAGCTTATTTGCATTCCAATAACATCCACATTATTGGCAGTGTCCACCTACACAAGAGAAAAAATTGCCCTTTTTTAAAAGAGTTTATATTCTGAGAGCTGTTGAATCTTGCAACATTGCAAAGAATATTTGAGCTTAGAAATAATCCACATCATGATGATTATCAGATCAGCACCTAAAATAGGATGCAAACTATCTTGGAAGGCCAGAAATTACTCAGTCAAGATAAAGGCTCAAGATACATTAACCAGTACCTTCCAGAAAGGAAGCACGAATTTTCATTTTATTAAGACACTGAAACCTTTATAAATAAAGCTGGGATTTCAGCAATGCTGAAAACAAGTAGGCAATGAGTTTCAAAGGGAACTGTCCATGTACTGCCCACTGTCTCATTTGAAAATCCCAGCCAACAGCAGCAATTTTATTTGGTTTAAAACACCATATCACCATGGGAAACAAACCCACTTACTTTTCACTCCAGGCAAGAATGAAGTGTGGGTGAGGGAGCAAATGTGGTGGTAATGTGTACATCTGCAGGTGATTTATGGGCACAGGCTGTGCTAATAAAGAATGTGAAATTCAGAATGACACTGACAGCAGGAAGGCAAACTGGGTCCTGGAAGAATGACAGTGATTGTGAAGCTTACAAGAAAACAAACAGAAGTGAGGGTCAACTTTCATCCTCTCTGGAGGCAAGTAGGCAAGTCTCTAAACACCTTTCCATCCACTTCTTATTGTTGATGGGATTTTTGGGTTTTATTTGCTGTGCTTTGCAGTTTTCCAATCCATATTCTTTTCCTGCACATTGGTACCACATAAATATGCTACTTACTCCCTCATGCGTTTCAGCTTGGTCTCAGCCATTGTACTGTTGAGAGCTCTGAATCCCTGGGGCACCCCTGGAGACACTCCGGTGACAGTCCTCGAGCCTACAAATCAATGCACAGACACACAACCTTATTCACCTTCATCCCCCGAGCTCTATTGCAGAATCAAGGGCAGTCAGAAGGAGGAAGACTATCCCTGCTTCTCACAAGGCAGTGCCACATTAATTAAAGATGAATTAGATTATTAAATGCACATTAAGGGCAACTCCTTTCTGAGGGACAAGTAGGTTTATAGCCTAAAGGAACCAGAACTGTAATAACAAGGAATACACAAGGAATTACAACAGAAAGGACAATCACTTGAGAAAGTTCTGGGATGAATAAATATCCAAGAAAATTAAACTTGTTTAGACAATATGCATTTTCTTCCATTGTTTTTTAACTTACCTTTAAGAGTAAGAACATTCTTCCTAACAGGCAAGTCTCTCCTTGAGCTTGATCATTACTGTAAACTGGAAGTATTTATCTTACAACATCAGTTTCTTTTTCAGACAAAGATACACTTTTTATGTATGACTATATATAAATATATATAAACATACCTGTATATGTAAATGCATATGTATGTGTAAGAAATATACACATGCATAAACACACATGCCCACTCTTTCTGTTTAGAGGTCTTCTGAACTATTGCAATATTCAGGACCTAGGACTCACATACCACTGAAGCACTCATCCACAGGAACACAGAAGTGCTGATTCACAGAGGACTGTCAGGGTTATCAGCTCAAATATGCTGCAATTTCATGTAGTCATCCCATCATCCAAGTCTGTGGTTTTCCAAAGAATTTTATGTACTTTTTGCCCTGACTACTCCTATTTAAAGACAATTTCAAAGCCCCACTGGTAGCAAGTGGCTCTAAAATCTTCCCTCTTATTTCCTGATAAAATTTCTTTATCAAGCAGTTCCTGCTCATCTTCCTCCTGTTCCAGTCCTTTCTCTTGGCTTACGCAGTTCTTTCCTTCTCTTTTGCATACTCCTTTCATTTCTTTATAATTGGAAAAAGAGATCCTATTTCAGCTTTCAATTTGTTAAGCTGAACAAAGCAGCTATTTTAGCCTCTTCTTGGAAATTGTTTGGCATTAGGATTTCACTTCCCAAAAAAGGAGATGTATCAGGGTGTAAATGTGTGGGTTGTGCCACATAGGACCCAAGTTCTGAACAGGCATGGGAGGGCTTTGCATAGGGTAGGAACAAGCCAAAAGTCAAATACATTAACAAAATGCCTTGTCTAACTGAACACACACTCCCCTCCTACCAGGAGTTTTTAGCTTGGACTCAGCCGGGGTTTGGCTTAGTTTGGATTGCATTAACAGGGATCACATGCAGCCAGAGGAATTTGCAGCTCCCCTCCCTCTATGAGCTGATACAGACACCCCCAGAGAACACCAAATGCTTCCCTGGAATGTGCAATCATGTCTCTCCCAACAGGTAGGCTCCTTTGCATTACATGATTCTAGACCCTGATCACATCCATTTGAATACTGAGATTAAAACTTTCCATTGTGAGTGATTCTATTGAACCACTCACAGTGAGTGTCTGCTGGGTTCAGAAGCTTGGAAGCACAGAAGAAATGGATTCCTGATTCTGTTAGCAGGATGGACAATTGCACATTTAAAAACATTCTCCTAGCTTATCTTACACCAAATAGCTAGCTAATAGCTAATAGATAACTATTAGTTAACCTAACAGTTATCTGGTGCCCAAATATTACAACTCAGGTATAGTTAATGTAGTTTAAAAGATGAAAAATGACAAGCCCAGTTCTTAATGGCAACCAATTATTTCACCCATTAATGCAAAAAACATTTCCTGATTGTTTACTGTAAGAGTGCACATGCATATTCATATGTTTTACACGGAGTCTGTAAGCATTCAACTCCTTCAGCAGCACTGGAAAATTCAGCCATCCTCAGGACAGCTCTGAGGAAACCCCAGGTGCTGTGCAAAGTAGTGCTCATGACTTGCTGGGCTTCTGTCTCAGCTGGCACAGTATTAAGGTCCAGATGTAGGGCTTTGGTGGTTTGAAACCAATTAAAAATTGATGCTCTGAGCACCAGTGGCCTAAGGAAAATATAAATCTTGCAGTCTCTTAAAAAGGAGTACATTTAACCACCGGTACCAGATAAATTCTGGCATTATTATTATTATTACAGGATATATCACTCTTGTAAGAGCTCAGCATATTCTTTCTGTTTAGTGAATTCAATATATTACTACTATATTTATTACTACAGTATTTTCTTCTCCTCTGACATTTCATTATTAAAGACATCCTTCTTGCTAGTTTTGTTTTGTTTTCTCTGGGATTTCTGGCTAAATAATTCATATTTTGTCTACTTTACACATTGGCAGTTGGCCAAGAAAAACTTAGTCTCTACATGCAAACGCTCTATCTTTCTCTCCATTTAATATGATTTTTTGGCTCCTGCAAGGCAGCACAGACTGAAGTAAAGGTGTGGTTAGTAATTAAAAAAATGAGTTCTCAGTTAAGACTGCTTAATACATTTGGTGCTACAGCACACCTCAACAAATTTTCCTGGGGTGATTCATAACCATACCAACTTCTACATCAAAGGTATTTTCTTAGAAGCAGTTACTTGGTTAATAATGCATTTTGCACCCAGCTTCAGGCAGTTTGTGTACCCACATATCAACACAGAACAAGGAACTACGCTTCTTCAAAAAGCTACCAGATAATTATTTGCATTTTTTATCCAATATATCATTCTTGATCCATTAAACAAAATCAAATAAAACAACAAGAACACTGTCTTTTCAAAACCAGGTATGGCAGCTTTCTAAATGCATTTCAATGTCTCCCAGTCTAACCCAGTATTGCAGAAACAACATAGGGCAAAGGGCAAAATATCTTTGTCCTCTCAGGTGATAGAGCACCACTTTGAGGTTTGCACTGAGGATTTGTAGAGAAAGGAATTTAGTCACAGGTGCATTATCTGGTAAGAGTTTTCATAAATTATGGTCCAAAGGCATTCCTACAAACATTTCTGCTAATGACCAAAGAATAGGTGACACACACCTACTGCAGCTCTTCATAAGCCATGATGTATTGTGAAGCTGTTATCTCCACTGAATCACAAACTTCTGTTTGTAGTTCACATTTCTTTTCTTTACCTTTCATGGCTACATATGAGATCCTACAGTGCCTTTTTGTACAAGATATAAAAGATTAGAAACAGATGTGTTTTCCATTCATAAACAATACAAAGTGACCCAACTGCCCCTAACGTTCTCTTCCTTAATGCCAAGCAAATCTAGTAAATTTTAAAATGAGTTTTTCAAACTCCCTTGTCTTCTGCAGTTTTTTTCTGGGATCTTCCCAATTTTTCAATTTATCAGCATGGCCAATCTTACTTCAAATGCACTCCACAGGGACCTTTATAGCCAACACAAAAGCAATTGTGTACCACAAAAGCTCTTGTACTTGGACTGATTCTGGGACCTCTTGAGGATAAAATTCAGTTACCTCCCAAGTCCTTTTATAAACACTGAGGTTTATACTAAAAAAATTCCACCTGTTGAAAAACAATATATATTTATTGCATCCTTTTTATCATAACCTTTGCTGACATAAAAAAAAGTTCTAGTGTTTTTCTTCTTGGTTATTCTCTAACAACCACTTGAAATTACTCATAATCTTTTTGTAATACTTCAAAACAATGAAAGATGCCACAAGAAATTCTGTCCTGGTCAGATTCCTGCTTCTATTGCCCTATTATTGCCATGAAATCCTGTTTTCAGGAGCAGCCATTATAATCCTGTTGCAGCTCTGTAGCCCAGGAATACGGTATTGCCACTGCTTGCACCAGGCCACACAGCTGGAACTGAGTCTGCAAGACTTTGTCTAATCTTGTCATATCCTGACAGAAGTTTTGCTTTAATTGCTCAAGCTATAGCAGTAGTTCTTTGAATTACTATGTAGTGGACTGGTTTGCTTTATCTCCAATTTTTCTTGTAACATACAACCTGCTTTTCTAGATGGATAGTAGTGTTTTGTGTAGAAAGACATATGTATAACTAACTTAATTAACATAGAGAAGTACAGGCTAGTACAACTGCAGATGCCTTGAAAAGTGGGAACAAAGGATGAGATATAAAGGACTGCAGGCATAGGATGTCAAAAAGGAAGGCTCCAGCTAGTACTTGCAATACCAGGGGTAAAACCAATGTGCTAGTGGTTAGTTAAAGAAATGCAGACCTAGAAGGGGACACAACTAGCTTTAGGGTGAAAAAGACAGCAAGTATCTAACTTATGCACAGTGCACTATATACAGAAAATTTTGATGCAATGGGAATTTGGAGCCCAGTGAAGAATGTGCAAGGTATAAATGAACATTAGCAAACACATAAAAATGACCCCAACTGCAGGTTTATAGCTTGATTGGAATAACTTAAAATAATGAAAGTTTAAACTTTCTAAGTGATACTGGGCATACAAAGATAAAAGGGAACATTGAGATTTGTCTCTTATTATCATCACATATACTTCTTTGGAGAAAATCATACCTAATTACTACAGAACTTGGAAAAAGCCTGTAAGTTTCAACATGGACTGGTTGAAAATTTTTTAGTGATAAAAGTACAATTTACTTATTTAATATTACAATTTTTAAAAAGTCATCTTCTTGTCCCTAATACTGAATGGAAAAGATTAAGATAAGGGAGTTTCTAATACTAAGATTGTTTTTTAAACACCACTGTTTGTCTTAGGCTAATATTCTTGTTTGTTCTCACCAACCTTCAAGGCAATTCCTCTCTTTAATTAAATGAAGGGATATTGAAGAACAGAGCAAAATCTTTTTCTTATTTCAACTTCTGCAAACCCATTGCAAACAGTGATGTTGCAAATGCATACATGAGTGCAGAATTTGGAGACAGGGCTTTTCTGTAAATGTGAAGAGAAACTAGATGTAAATGTTCCTTCATTCAGTCCTGAGGGTCTCCTGGCATGGGACCCAGAAGGTGACCAGTGGCTACAAGACTGTGATGGCAACAACTTTGATTACTCCCTTTCATCCTTCTTCTTTGGCTCTCTTCCCACCTATCCAAGCTCACAAGCAGGGGTGAACCAGAGCTCAGCACTGGAAGAATTTCTGGAAGCAGGACTTTCTAGGAATCTCCTGTATTATGGTTTTAGATAATCCCAAATCAGGTTTATCCCAACTGAACGAATGCAAACAAAGCAGATAGAGAGGCTGCAGTTCCCATGGGAGCCTTTGGGAACTCAGCTGGCCTTTCATGAGCTCACACTCAGTCCCACCCGCTGGCCTCTGGGGACAGTGACTATGGCAGCCACAGTAAATAGCCTTATTTCACTTAAGCTTTCCTTTTAGCTTTTAAGTAGACCACAACAACCCAGGTTTTCCAACTGTAAATCTATAGACAATATTTTGCCAGAGATTTTAGGATTAAATTACTAACTTAAATTCTCACTGTTTTCTTTGTACCTGAATGACATAAATTAAGTATTATCCAAGCTTTGATCATAATTTAAACATATTAAATGTTTTAATTCATTTTCTCTTATTGTTACCAGGATTAAAACTATAAAATAGCTTACATAGCCTCAAATATTTTCCTCTGGAGAAAAAATGACAGTAGCCAAATGTTTAAATTTTTTTAAATAACATTCTATACTTCTGACTAGCATGCTTTATGGTTTTCTTATTTTCAACAAAAGCACTTATGCCTTTTCTTTTGGCATAATTATACTTCTTTGCAGTAGATTAAGGAAGTAATTTTCAAACTGATCACATTTTTTGAGTTATTTTGTTGCAATATAGAAATAGTTGGACAGCTCTGCATACAGACTGCTAATAACTGCTGCTATCCAAAGAAGATATATCATCTTACCCAATGAGCTGCTATTCAGGACACTCTCCAAATACTCAACCATTGCCTCCATATCACTGTCCTGTGAATAAATGAAATCGGAATGGCATTAGTGTGAGCACAAACCTTAACACAAACACCATGTCCCAGAGGTACCATCCCACAAACACAGAGGATAACACACCAGTAAGTGTCAAGACTAGACTATTAAAAAGTTACATTGCCCAGGACATTTTCTATGTTTTCTTCTCTTAAAACATCAAGCTTTGGAATGATGTAATAACCAAACAACAATTTAAGTCAAATTCCTTGCAGAACACAAGTGTTTAGAAGAATTCTGCACGGAATTCAAAGGAGATATATTTACTGTGGAGGGTGGTGTGCAGTCTCTCAAAATATACCAGCATTTTATCATCAGTTAGTCCTGGAACATCTAAAACAATATTACATTGAAAAAGGCAAGTAAATACTTTTTAACTATGCCAAAATTTTTATGCTTATGATAGCTACCCACAGCAAATTAATATTTATCTTTCATGTAATTGCATCTACTTACATGTCTAGTAACAGCAACTAATTGAAAAATTTTTAATTAAGAAGAGATTTTAACATTTTTATATTTCAAGTGTTCTGCTACCAAACAGATGGCTGACAGTTTTGCTGAGATATCTTTCATCTGAAATGCTGTTTGTGTACATGGATTAAATTTAAAGTTCTGGCCATTAAGCAATGATTGTTGTCCAGGAAGTGCATCACAATTTTATGACAGTCCAAGAAAAACTTGGACTCTGAGTATGCAGAAGCTGCTGCCATATCACATTTAACAACACAGCATTTCTTGACTATTTAATATTGACAGTCATGTCAAAAATACATTTTTTTAAAAATAGTCAGCACTCTATGCCTTTAAGACTGAAAACAATGGAATAAAAAGAAACACTATTGACCTCCACTTCTACAATGGCCAATCTGTTTCATATTCTTCTGTGATCTTACTAAAATGCCCATTCTAAATTTCTTAACTTAAGAACTGCCAGTACACCTAAACAGGACAGCAATAATTGCTGGCAATGACTTCCAGCTGGTTAGGGATCTTCTGGTGCAAGTGGGAGCTGTTATGGATGAGCATAAATTAACTGTTCTTTCACCCCAAGTTGTTGTATGGGCTTGTATTTGAAACAGGCTCTGCTGAGGTTTGCAAGCAGGAATCATGTTCTTGGTTGGATATTACAACAGGTAATCCACAAGCCCATAGGTCCAAAGAAGCCTCTTTGCCCTTTTGGAGCAGCCTGTGGGGTCCTGATTAGATCAAGTCAGCACAAGGGTTTGCATTCATTATGTTAATATACACAGTAGATACTGAATATTGAATTAAGAAAGATTACAGATATAATTTCTCTGTACTTCTTAAAAAAAAAGAACCATTAGGACTTCATTAAAAAGACTTAATGAAATATCTTTCATTTAAAACTAAAAAGTAATATTGATTTTCTGCTAATATTACTTTGTAATTATTTTTATTTTCATTACCACTAACAGTTAACCACAAATCTACAGACAGGCAAAACATACTAAATAACCACATACAACACAATTGCTTTAATAAAACTTTTTTTTAACTTTTTTTAATGGGACAAAGCCTGTAATTCCCAAACATTTGACTTCTCAAAACAAGACATTGTATTTGCTCCAATTATAACAACAAAGCTGGTTTCTTCACTTTATGTTGTAAGGTAAAAGATGTATTTTCACCTCATCGTCACTCCTGTGTTTTCCCCACTTGGGTTTAGCACTGGAAGAGGATTTAGTAGTTTCATTCAATATATTTCTTTAATCTTTCCCTTTTTTTTTTTTTTTAATTTTTGCAGAGAAAGCAAAGCCCTACAGAATGGACAAGGGACTGTGACAGATGCCCAGAAGAGAGGCACTCCCATGCATAAGAGCCAGTGTGGGTGAATGCTTGCACATTTCAGATTCAGAACAAACAACCCCATTTCTAACAGCCACAAGCCATGCCAAAACACATGTTAGGAATCCAGTGGAGCATCTTAGGGGTCACAGCACACAGACCACTCAGAGCTGCTGGAGCTATGATAATTGATGTCAGCTGAGTGTCTGGCTTGACAATCTCAGAAGCAACTTGGAATTTGAAAATAGGAACCTACAGCATCACAGTAGCAGACTTTGTCATGGTGAAGAAGGTGAATTTGTTGTTATGGTCACTGAGAAAAACCACTAAGAGCACGGTGATGAACTGCAGTAAAGAGCATCCACCAGCATCTCAGCTAAATCAAAGCCAATAGAAGCTTCATTACACACTAACTTTTGAAGATGAAAACTCTGTTAAGCATTACACATCGCAGTGTTTTTTAAAAACAGTTTGTCATTCTCTTTCATTATTTCCCCCTAATTAGGAACTGGTTCTCCTAGGGAAAAAACATGTGGAAAAGAGCCACTGACTTGAAGATGTAGAGGTCTGGAAAAGCAATTGGCAAATTGCTGCTTGAAATCTGTCAATGTGCATTTCTGCTCCAAAAGAAAGGAACAAAGGACACTAAACTCCAGTGTTGGAAAATATACCTGAAATCAGATAGGCTGTACTGAAAGGTATCAACATGAGAAAAAAAACCAAAATCTCTCTCAGCTCCCACCCTAAACCTTTAAAATTAAAATGTTGCAGTGCCTAACTCTACCTTTCTAAGTGGTCTTACATCCCATGTGAGGCTGCCACTTCTCAGTCTGTCTTGACACCTGTGGGAGCCTAATATAGCTTGAATAAATAGCTCATATCCCTTTCTATATCTTACACCTTAATATGTTGTTCGTAAAGATGACTTTTCTGACCCCATGCTACTGCATGAACATTGGACATTTTTTTAATCCTTGTTTGAAATAATGGGGTCACCAGAGAGCACCACCAGATGCAGCATTTCTGCCCTCTCTGCACAGAAGTAACTAGTAAAGCAATCTTGTGATTGGAAGTCCAAGAGATTTGCAGAAATTACCTTAGTAGCCCTTACTGTGTTGCAGTGGAACAATTTCTTTTTACCACACACCTCCAAAAGCTTGGTTTAAAGTATCTTTGAAGAACGGGTTTAAGAGTATGAATCCCATCACAGAAGTAGGAGTTTTGGTATTAAGTAAATGACTGCAGAAGCAAACCTTCGCTATTCTGGTAGGATTTGAAGCTTATTATTAACACTGAGCATGATCCCACCTACCTTTGAGTGGGATTCATCTCACATAACCATTGATATGCAAAGGAAGATGTTGTGTGCATGTTAATAACTGTAAATCCCTTTATAATCACCAAAGAGGGACCTCTCTGCATATTCCATACAACCTGCAATAGATGTTTACTCCCTAATAATGCTTGCTTACTTCCTCTCACAGTACTGACTTTCTGTTTGTTGAGTTCAGACAAAGATGTTCAGATTTGCACAGATATGTTCAGTCTGCTTTCACCTCAGATTTACTGCAGAATTTTTCACTTGAGAAAGCAAAAATAGCCCATTTTCACTTTCTATCTCCCAAGAAATAGAAAGGGTAATTGTGTCAATACCCAGAAACACACTGATTGAATATCTTAAGCTGACAGAGACAATGAGGTGCCAGTGGGATGGCTCTTCCAGCCCACCATGCTGGTTCTTATCATGGAATTTTTAGGCAGTCCAACATGAGGGACTGTTACAGCTCACATCTGAATGCCAACATCTAATTTATTCTGCATTACTGAGAAATCTATTTTTGTCTTCTGCCCTTCATTAATTCTAAGCAACAGAATCTGCCTGTTCAAAACTACTACTGATTGACACTTAATGATACCATCAATGAAAGTTAAAAGAAAATTTCAAAAGGCATTCTAAAAAAGAAATATTATCTTAGAGTCTGATGAAAATGAACAGTAATTTCATTTTTAAGAGTACCTTGTGGTAGACTTTCTGGGCAAAGGTTTCTTTTTGTGTCTATGTATTGTGGATAAGCATAAAAACAGCAAACTGAAAAAAATATTGTATAAAATAATCCACTGTTTTACAATTAAATAACAATTTCTTTAGACCACTACTGCACAAACTGCTCCTGAATTTTAAGGCATCCTGTGTGTTTAATTTGAAAGTTAGGAGGACATGTCTAGATTGAAGGGAGCTGTTTCTGAGTATATTTCAAGTTTTACTTGTGGGACAATTTCAGGATCCCCTGCTACTGTGGTAGAAGTAGAGATCTTATTTCTCACACTTTATTTTTGCCTTAAAAACTACATCTCTAAGCTACTAGCTCAAATTTTTCAAAAACCACAACTTATTTATAATTTAGTGAAGAGTATTAGTCTTCTTGGCCAGTTCCCTGAAATGCAGAAAACATCACGCCCTGATCTGCAAACTTTGCACATAATCACAGAATAAAGGAACTGTTCCTAGGCAGAGCCAGGTAGTACCATTCAGAGGCACTGCAGGCCATGCTTGAAACTGGGGGCACATAGGAGAAATTAATAGTTCCTGAATGCCTTAGGAAGATCTATTTTCAGAACTGCCTCAGACACTTAAGTTTATTGATTTGACTGAGACTTGATCACTGGAGACAAGATTCATCTCAGCTCATTCTGATCAGATCTAAATTAGGTGCCTTTTCCAATGATCTTCAACCTTCACACTGCAATCCCTGACTTTCTTGTGGAAGCCTTAACTGATAAAGCTACTTTAAGCCTTTCAACAATAAGTTTTCTCTTTACTGACATTTTCTGTGAGGTGGGAGAGTCTACAGATTTGCTGATCTGCAGCTATTTTGTAGCTGTTTAGGCTCATTGTTTATCACACTGTCCTAAAAAATATGTCTAATATAGGCAGGAACTAGAGGTGAATATCACTGTCTGGGAAATAGAGCTCTAACTTAGATCTTATGCTTGAAGTATACCTTCAGCTTTAATTTAATTTAAATCATAGCTGGCATTTGAGAGGATCCCACTCTGAGTGTTTTAGAGTCACAAGACATTCTGACCAAGTGATCTACCTTAAGGCATTCATGGGAGTGTTATCTTTAGTCTCGAAGGAATGCAAAAATATTTCTCATCAATATCTTCTAATACGCATATAATAATTCATATTGATATATACACAAACTCCTGAAAAAAAAGAAATCAGCAATGTCAGTAGGACAAATTCTAGGAAGGAACTTAGTTTTCTCATGGAAAATGAGCATCAAGTGTATACAGGGCTCTCAAAGGTCACATATACCTGGTGATTTGTCTTAGAGACTGTCCATGACAATTCTGCATCTTCCTCTTCTTCACTGTCTTCTGAAAAGGATTCAAACTCATCTTTATAATATTCTTCTGCAATTTCTGGGTCTTCAGGGATCTCTAAAGACAATTATGAGTTTATAGCATATATAGAGAAAAAGAATTATCTGATAAAGTTATCAATGAACTTTATGGCATCAGCGTTACGTCAATAGCAATGCGTTCTGTAATTGAAAGCAAAGGATATGTTCTCAGATTAAAATGTTTGTCTTTAGTGATATGATAAGTAGTGTTAAAGCTGTCTCTGGCAAAGTGCAAATCCTTATCATGTGCGAATTAATGAACCTAAGGGATCTATATTGATATTGCACTGAAATCTCTAAACTATACAATAAATCAGGCTGGAAGTGACCTTATGGCATCATTAAGTCAAAGCAAGGCCAGTATTGAATTGAATCCAGCTTTTGTGAGCTGAAATTATAACTCAGTTTTGTTTTGTCTAACACACATAACTTGTGGAAGATAACATATATCAGGTACATATTTAAAAGATATGAGAAATTAAATCTATATATTTTTCTAAACTTTATTGAAGTAATACTATAATAAAAGAAAAGAAATTAGTATAAAATCAAGCCATGCATACTTTGGTGTCATTCTCTCTCAATTTATTACTATCACAAATTTTAGTAATAGCAGTGAGTGCAATATTAATGTAGCCAATGAGCCCATGAAGTACAATAATTGGTATTAAAACTCAACACATTCATCACAGCTTGAAAGACACTCCAGCCACTCTGCACTGGGTGAAATCCTTTAGCATCCCAGACTCTCGATGAAAGAATTAGTGAAACAGCTTGAAGTCTGATTGCATCTCCTTCGGGGGGATATTACTACAAGAAATGTTAGTCGAAGACAAAAAATATTTAATGTTCAGCTGTCATAAATCATCACTGTCATTGTCAGAATTTTAGCTAATGCTAATTTCAACTACTCTCCTCAATTAAGTCTACCCCTTTAGAGAAATAAGAACTATCTTAAATTTTACTGCATTGAAATAAATGAAGTTCAAACAATATGCCATAAAAATTATTAATCGATTTTTTAATTGTTTCACATGGATAAAAATCCAAAAGGATTCAAACAGGAGAACACAATTAAAATCCATATAAAAGACATTTAAGTTTAGGCAGGAGCAATAGTTCTAATCTTTAAGGTGAAAGAAAGAGAACTCAGAAAAAATAGTGTAGCTATCTGCTGCATTAGATGGTTAAGCTCTCCTGTTGAGATGTAAGGTCTACTATCTATTGTCCCCAAAGTAATTTCAAAAATACCTCATTTTTTTATAAACCTGATTTAGCTCCAAAATGGTGACACATTTTCACTCAGGTTTCTGTTTTAAGATATTAATGGAAGCTGCATAAAAGCCCCATGCACTGTCACAATTTCTAATCCTACTCCTTCCTGCTTCTATTTTTCACCTTTCTTAGTTTGACAAAACAAACAAGCCAGAAAACAAACAGCTAATCAATACCCGAGTTACCACAAGAACACCCCCAACCTAAAAACATTTTCTCACAAAGAAAGCATTTATTTAATTGCTAGAGTTCTACAAAGTCCATTTGACAGAAAGTCCAGCGCTTCATTAAAAAGGGAATCTTAAATATCATCCTTTCTATGCGGAAAGAGCACCACAAAATTAAGGTACATCTCATTTTCCATGTGAGGTGATGAATTTTTCTTTCTTGCAGAGAGGCTCTCATCCCAGTGATTAGGATAATTTTATTAGGTTCAGCTGCATTCTGTCTATGTACATTCAGATACATATAAAAGAGCCCATTTATTATCTTGTAATGCAAACACCAGATTATGCTGGTGTTTTCTGAGTCATCTTCTCCTCCCACATTCTGCATTTGTTTATTGCTGTACCAAAAATGCAAGCATCCCCTTTCCAACCAAACAAGGTATCAGTCTTTTTACTCATAACTGTACCTTTAAAATGTCTGCTCTGACTACTGTAAAGTCTATACTTTCTGAGCAGCCCATGACCACAGAAAACTGGTGATGCCCCTAACTATGCAGAGAGGCTGGCAGTGTCTGTATTCCACTTCCATGCCAGCTTTTGCATCCTTGTTAGAATTATTCACTTCACCATTTGTGAAATTGGTTTGACAGCTGTTCATAGACAGCCAGTTAATCTGAGCTTAAGTAATACAATTTGAAATGCTAGTTCAGATGCTGGAGATCTCCCAAGGTATACAAGTTTACTGGCCCCAATTCAGAAACCAATTCCAAGTGGCATTTCTGAAAGAATACAGCATGTCCACTGCAGGGGAATTTGGCATTTGCCTAATGAAAGTTCTTAAAACTTTTTTGTTTTATGACTGGCATCTTTAAAGAAGGAGCCTTCAAAGATTTACACATTTCTTTAAACTGTTTCCATATAACACTCCTTTGAATCTTATCAAAGTAAAGCCAGCTCCCAGACCTCCGTGTATTACAGATGCACAAGACATCTCTGGTTCTCTGCAGAATTATCTGAGTACAGAACAGCTTATTGAGCTGAGACCCAGGATCAGACAAATTTCAAGAATAGATCAGATGGATTTGGCACAGCAGATACCGTAAATCAACATGGCACACTGTACCTGTGCTGGCCTAGTGAAGTCCAAGTGCAGACAGCTTGAGTGAGTTGGTGTTTTCAGCTCAGGGCAGGCACTGTCAGGGGAGTTCAGGCCCCATAAGTTTCTATTTCCATGTCTGCAGTCCATCCTCTGGAATATTTGCTACCTGAGTTTTCCCATAATTCCATGTGATTTCATATACACCTCCAATTTCCACAAACCAGGTGACAAAAGGCTGGTTACTGCTCCCATCCCTGAATTCTACTAGTGAAGTTGCACACTTAGTAATATAGCACAGGAGAAAATTATTTGGTTTGTGCTTTCAGAGAAGTATTTTAAATAATAATGTTAGTCTTTGGGCTAGGCAGTTTGACTGCTGCTTGGCCACTGCAAAGCCTAGCATGGACTCCGGTGATGGGACCTTGACCGTGTCCTTTGTTCTGATAAACAAAATAGATATTAAGCCTATTTGTGACTGGGAGGTGCCTGGGTAAAGAAGTGCTAGTGAGGGCAATGCCAAGACTATTGTGCTGAAAGAGGAAACAAAACTGCTGCTGCAGAACCCAGGGGACCTGCCCCTGTTTTGACAGCTGGACTGGCATCCAGCTGAGCATCTCTGATACAGCATTCTTACATTCTCCATAGGGAGCACAAGGGGTCTGTACAGCTGCTTCTGCCCCCTCACACCCCCATATGGCTCAGCTGGTCTCTGAAAGCACCTTGTGTTTTATCCAGCTGTGTGTATTGCACCAAGGCCAGTCACAACAGCTTTTATTTGCTTACAAAGCACTGAATTCAAAACAAACTCAGCTGTTGCTTTGGTATTGCTAGATGGTTTAGGCATAGCATTGAGACGTTTGATGCTTGTTATTAGATATTCAAAAGAAAACAAGTTTTGAATAAAACCATTCCTCTTTAGATCTCTTTCTATACAGTAACATGATGCTAATAGTGGAATGATGGGTAAAAACCTATTATCTAAAAAAAGTCATAAAAGCATGGTTATTTCCCAAGAAGACAAGTTAAACAGAAAACAGAGGAATGTGATACTTGTAATATTTTCCTTAAAAGAACCAAGAGCTTGTTTCAGGTAGCATGGTAACTCAGCAACAACAATTTTCTCCAGAGATGAAAATGCTTTGATAAATATCTTTAATTTTCTTTGCCTCAAACTCATACTTGTCATTGTTGCATTGATGTAGTAGTCCCATGTTCCAGAACATACAGAAGGCAATAAGTAAGGCCACTTTTATTAAAAGAAAAAAAAAACTGCAAAAGAAAAAAAAGAAAACAGAATGGTGCAACATATGTAAATTTTCACCATTTGTATTCATAGTAACAAAGTCACACCTGACTCTTTAGGATTATTGTACTTTTTTGATCCAAAGGCTTCATTGCATCTCTGGAAGAAGGCAGATTTTCTCAGCTGCCACATTCCTGCCTTAAGGAAAAAAGTTGTTACTCCTCGCTCTGCACAGCATCACACAGCAGAAAGTGAGGAGTAAATCACTCAACTGCTCTGGCACACACTGTCATGGGACATAATGGACTCCTAAGATGGTGACATGAACCAGGACACCAGAAAGTGGTGTTACCACATCTCTGCTACCACAGACTGACACAAAGAACTCAAAAAATTGAGAGAAAGGGCCAGGACAGAAGTCCTGGCAGGACCCCATCAGTACCACAAAGGTGCCCTTGATCCTTTCCTTTGTGTGGAAATGCATCAGCAAACACCAGTTTAATCCCCTATGAGCAGGTGACACCTACTGGAGCAGATGCCACGGTGGCACCCAGGCTGGGCACCTGGAGCACCGGGGTGCAAGAAGGGGCTGTGAGAGCACAGCCCCTGCAGCCCTGAGAAGGGAAGGCAAAGGGGAAACCTCGCTGCTCAGAGGTTAAAAGGAAGACCTGAACAGAGGATAAAAGGAAGATGGAGCCTGTGTCTTCACAGAGGTGAATGGCGATAGGACAAGAGACAACAAACATCTGGAACATCCAGTTTGGAAATTCCAGTTTGACATTACAAAAAAAAAAAACAAAAAAAAAAAAAAAAAAAAAAAAAAAAAAAAAAAAAAAAAAAAAAAAAAAAACAAAAAAAAAAAAGAGTATGATCAAATGCTGGAACAAGGCTTAAAGAAGGTGCAAGAGCTCAATCAACCCTTGGAGGTGTTCAAAACTTGATCAGACACCCCTAAACAGCCTGATCTGAAAAGAATGGCTTTGAGCAGGGGGTTGGACTAGGCTGGCAGGGGTTCGGACTAGGCTGCCAGGGGTTCTTTCCAACGTAAATTATTTTATAATGCTGTGGCTATTTGATTCCTCACAAACAGCTCAGGATCACCCCAGATCTATTTGTGTGTGCACACATACACCCTAAACAGGCTAAGCAGAAACTTAAGAGATGGCAAGAGCAGCTGGTGCACAGGGCTGGGCAGTTCTTTTCAGAGCTGTGCATCACTTACCACAGAAAGAGAAAACAGAAAGGGATTTCTG